TATATATATATATATATATATATATATATATATATATATATATATATATATATATATATATATATATTAGTATATTTTGGTAGCAGTCTTTCCTGTAGACATATATTATTAAATATGACCGAAAAAGTAAGATTAATAATTCTAACACGAATTTTCTCAATCTTTCGTACATTTCTTTTCACTGTTGGAGGTAAATCAAAAATCAATTCTCCAAAATTCATTTTTATTTCTAGTGTGACGCGACACGAGCGCGTTTCGTAAAACTTATTACATTTTCAAAGACTTTAGTTCACAAATACACAACTGAATAGAACTTACGCATCGGAGATGCGTAAGTTCAGTTGTGTATTTGCGAACTAAAGTCTTTGAAAATGTAATAAGTTTTACGAAACGCGCTCGTGTCGCGTCAGACTAGAAATAAAAATGAATTTTGGAGAATTGATTTTTGATTTACCTCCAACAATGAAAAGAAATGTACGAAAGATTGAGAAAATTCGTGTTAGAATTATTAATCTTACTTTTTCGGTCATATTTAATATATATATATATATATATATATATATATATATATATATATATATATATATATATATATATATATATATATATATATATATATATATATATGTCATACCTAATAGCCAGAACGCACTTCTCAGCCTACTATGCAAGGCCCGATTTGCCTAATAAGCCAAGTTTTCATGAATTAATGATTTTTCGACCACCTAACCTACCTAACCTAACCTAACTTTTTCGGCTACCTAACCAAACCTAACCTTTAAAGATAGGTTAGGTTAGGTTAGGTAGGGTTGGTTAGGTTCGGTCATATATATACGTTAATTTTAACTCCAATATTTTTTTTTTACCTCATACGTAATGAAATGGGTAGCTTTATCATTTCATAAGAAAAAAAATAGAGAAAATATAATAATTCAGGAAAACTTGGCTTATTAGGCAAATGGGGCCTTGCATAGTAGGCTGAGAAGTGCGTTCTGGCTATTAGGTACGACATATATATATATATATATATATATATATATATATATATATATATATATATATATATATATATATATATATATATATATATATATATATATATATATATATATACATATATATATATATATACATATATATATATAAGTATATTTTGGTAGCAGTCTTTCCTGTAGACATATATTATTAAATATGACCGAAAAAGTAAGATAAATAATTCTAACACGAATTTTCTCAATCTTTCGTACATTTCTTTTCACTGTTGGTGGTAATTCAAAAATCAATTCTCCAAAATTCATTTTTATTTCTAGTCTGACGCGACACTTGAGCGCGTTTCGTAAAACTTATTACATTTTCAAAGACTTTAGTTTACACATACACAACTGAATAGAACTTACACATCTCCATGTGTAAACTAAAGTCTTTGAAAATGTAATAAGTTTTACGAAACGCGCTCAAGTGTCGCGTCAGATTAGAAATAAAAATGAATTTTGGAGAATTGATTTTTGAATTACCACCAACAGTGAAAAGAAATGAACGAAAGATTGAGAAAACTCGTGTTAGAATTATTAATCTTACTTTTTCGGTCATATTTAATAATATGTATGTATGTATGTATGTATGTATGTATGTATATATATATATATATATATATATATATATATATATATATATATATATATGTCGCACCTAGTAGCCAAAACGCACTTCTCAGCCTACTATGCATGGCCCGATTTGCCTAATAAGCCAAGTTTTCCTGAATTAATACATTTTCTCTAATTTTTTTCTTAACAAATGATAAAGCTACCCATTTCATTATGTATGAGGTCAATTTTTTTTTATTGGAATTAAAATTAACGTAGATATATGACCGAACCTAACCAACCCAACCTAACCTATCTTTATAGGTTAGGTTAGGTTAGGTAGCCGAAAAGGTTAGGTTAGGTAGGTTAGGTAGTCGAAAAACCATTAATTCATGAAAACTTGGCTTATTAGGCAAATCGGGCCTTGCATAGTAGGCTGAGAAGTGCGTTCTGGCTACTAGGTACGACATATATATAACTGAAAATCCACACCCCATTAGTGACTCGAACCCCTACTGCCAGGAGCACTATGTAACTGGTGTACAGGCGACCTTAACCAACTTCAACAACAAGAAGTCATAGATTTAAACTAACGAAATGAAGCTTCCGGAGAAATATAAGAAAATTCACTTTTGTAAACAGTGTAATTACCTAAGTTACAGGATGAGAGCTATGCTCATGGTGTGTGTGTAATTACCTAAGTGTAATTACCTAAGTGTAGTTACAGGATGAGAGCTACGCTTGTGGTGTCACTTTTCCCAGCACTCTTTGTCATATAACGCTTTGAAACTACTGACGGTCTTGGCCTCCACCACCTTCTCACCTAACTTGTTCCAACCGTCTACCACTCTGTTTGCGAAAGTGAATTTTCTTATATTTCTTCGGCATCTGTGTTTAGCTAGCTTAAATCTATGACCTCTTGTTCTTAAAGTTCCAGGTCTCAGGAAATCTACCCTATCGATTTTATCAATTCATGTTACTATTTTGTATGTAGTGATCATATCACCTCTTTTTCTTGTCTTCTAGTTTTGGCATATTTAATGCTTCTAACCTCTCCTC